GCATGCACTACCACGCCCAGCTGATTTTTTGATTTATTGTAGAGATGAGATCTCACTGCCCAGGCAAGTCTCGAACCCACGGGTTCAGGCAATCCACTCACCTCAGCTTCCCAAAGGCGCAGGATTATAGGCTGAGCCACCAAGCCCGGCTGCAAAACAGCCTTCTAAGTGGCAAGAGCAGTATAACCCATTTCAGCAAGCCAATTCTTAGGACCTAGGGGATAACACAAGGAGGCCTAAGAGATGGGACTACAAAACTGGCCCACTGAATAATGTCATGCTTCAGGCTCAGCCATTCCTACCTACAAGGCCTTGGTTGACACTGTCTTCTCCCCCTTTGGGTCTTTAGGCACAGAACTGGCACCAGGAGTGTTTTAACAGGAACAGCACAACTATACTTGCTCTTGGACAGATGACTCTGTCGATGTTAGATTTATCGGTTGAGGGTGCCAGTTTCTGTGCATTATGGTAAATTACTATAATGGAGCTGGTAGCCATAAGGAAGGCTAACACCCACAGTGTTCATTTCCATGTCACATGAGGGTGACCTGGGCCACTTTTGCTCAAGTGAGAAGATGTGACAGGGACAACATGGCAGGGACTGGGGCAGAATTCAGTCCGGTCAGTGTTTGCCTGTCTGCCCTCCATGGTTTTGACCTGTGCTTAGAGATGGATAAACAGGAAGGATTCTGATACTGAGCTGTTGCCTGTGAGCACTGAGGAGGGTGGTGAGGAAACACCTCAGGAGAGGGTGCTTCTACCACTTCTTGAAGGGCGAGTCCCAAAGTGGTCTACCGATTTGAGAAAGAACACCATATTTTTGTACTTTTGCTTTAGTCTGCTATCCGATCCCAAGTTTTGAGCTTCCCTTAATTATAAACTTCTATTCTGCAGCCAAAGTGATCTTTCTGAAACACAGTTTTGAGCAGGCTATTCCCTATTCAAAATAAGTCAAACACTCTACTCTGCTATCAGCATCAAGTCCAAACTCTTGAGATGACTTTGCCCTTCACACACTGAGAGGGGCTGTACCTCCTCCTTATCTCTTCACTCCCAGTCCTAGCATCTAGCACAGTGCCTGGCATCTTATAATGCTAGCTCATATTCATTGTATGCTCATTGTGTATTAAGTATACAAACCCACTTAATCTTTAGAACAACTTTAGGTACTATAAAACATTATTACCTGGAGTCTCACTCTGTTGCCAGACTGAAGTGCAGTGACACGATCATGGCTATGGCAGCCTCAACCTGCTGGGCTCAGGTGATCCTGCCTCCTCAGCCTTCCAAGTAGCTGGAACTACAGGCATGTACCAATATGTCCAGCCAGTTTTTTTTAATTTATTGAAGAGACAAGGTCTCGCCATGTTGCCCTGGCTGGTCTTGAACCCCTGGACCTAGGCAGTCCTCTCACTTCAGCCTCCCAAGTGCTGGGATTACAAGTGAGAGCCACTGCAGCTGTACTACCCCCCTTATTTGATAAGGAAGCAAGATAAAATTACTTTCCTAAGACTACCAGTTAGTAAATGGAAGAACTGAAAGAGTATACCTTTCAAAACAAGGTCTTAATTACTAGACTTCACCAACTTAGTAAGTAGTTGTTAATGAATGGATGTGGTCCCTGCATGGTTATCCACCTGTACCTGAAATTACTTCCTTTTATCCTTTATGCTTCAGCTAGTCTGACTCTATGTCCTCTTATCAGGCTTATATACATGTAACACTTCTCTTTATGTAGAACACTTGCCTTTAACTCTCAAACTCATTTCCATTTACTGTTCAGGACTTAGCTTATGAGTCCCCTCCTCTGAGGTTCTCTTACTGAATTATGATAGCGTGTCCTTGTCTGATTCCCCACTGGTGTGAACTCTGTCAGGCTCCAGATCACCACAGACATATGTATCAGGAAGAGTAGGAACTCAGGGAACGTGTTGAACAAACAAAAAAATGCATTTGTAGAGCTGGACTCAGCATTCAAAGACCTTGCTTGGCTTTCCTTCATCTTCCTCAGACTGGGAGCAAGATTCAAATACTTGAAGCTTCTTAAAATTACTTGCTTCATGTCCACCAGCTTTTGGATCTTGGGTAAGGAAGGTTTTGGGTTGGACATTCTCTGGGATGTTCCTGGTGCTGCCCAATATACCTGTATGTTGAGGAGGGGTGCACTTAGAGTTTGGAAAACTGACTGTGTTTCCACTCCCTGCATCTACTCTCTCCCACTTGTGACTCTCAGTGCTTTAAGCTAAGAGCTGGCAATCATATTACTTTGGCTTTTTTTCTTAGGACTTTGAATGTGGAAATGATGTGGAACTTTCCTTTACCAAAAATGGAAAGTGGATGGGCATTGCCTTCCGAATCCAGAAGGAGGCCTTGGGGGGTCAGGCCCTCTACCCTCATGTCCTGGTGAAGAACTGTGCAGTGGAGTTCAACTTCGGGCAGAGGGCGGAGCCCTACTGTTCTGTCCTCCCAGGATTTACCTTCATTCAGCACCTTCCCCTAAGTGAGCGAATCCGGGGCACCGTTGGACCAAAGAGCAAGGCAGAATGTGAGGTAAGTAGGACCAGAAGACTGAATTGGTGATCATCTCTCCAGAGCCACCTTGCTGCCAAGACATTGGAGAGACATTCAGTAGCTGGGTGTGGTGAACAAGCACAGACCTGCTGTATGAGTGACCTTGGGGCAAGTGGCCACTTCTTCCCAGCTCCTTAAGGTTGGATTTAGAGTTGAAGAGCTACACTGAGTCTGAGGTGAGGAGAGGTTGGTGTGGTTTAGGCCAAAGCTGAAGGGGCTGAGATAACTTACCTAAATCTTAAAAAGATTTCCTTTTTTTTTTCTGAGTTGGAGTCTCACTCTGTCACCCAGACTGGAGTGCAGTGGCCACTCCCAGCCACCTCAGCCTCGACCTGCTGGGCTCCAGCGATCCTTCTGCCTCAGCCTTCCAAGTAGCTGGAACTATAGGCGCGCGCTACCACGCCCGGCTCATTTTTTGATTTACTGTAGAGATGAGGTCTCGCCAAGTTGCCCAGGTGGGTCTTGAACGCTCGGGCTCAGGCAATCCACTCACCTCAGCCTTCCAAGGCGCGGGATTACAGGCTGAGCCACCAAGCCCGGCTTAAAAGGTTTCAAAAGGCAGAAGCCACACTGCTTTTTAAGTGAGGCCAGAATATGGGGAAAGAAGACCTTCTTTTTGCAACAGAAAAGGATACCGGCGAGTGCACTCTGCCACTGGGTATCCTTGAAAGTGACTGAGCGATTCTGCCCTCCTACCCAGAGCTATCTAAAACATAAAAGACAACCGGGCTCGGTTGCTCAGCCTGTAATCCCGCGCCTTTGGGATGCTGAGGTGAGTGGATTGCCTGAGCCCGCGGGTTTGAGACTCGCTTGGGCAGCGAGACCTCATCTCTACAATAAATCAAAAAATTAGCCAGGCGTGGTAGCGTGCGCCTGTAGTTCCAGCTACTTGGAAGGCTGAGGCGGAAGGATCACCGGAGCCCAGCAGGTGGAGGCTGCGGTGGCCGGAAGCGGCCACTGCATTCCAGTCTGGGCGACAGAGTAAGACGTCAACTCAAAATAAATAAATAATAAATAAAACATAAAAGACAAATGGCCTTTGGATAATTTGGTTCCAGAAGCTGGAACAATGTTTTTCGTGTATGTATAAGTTATTTATGTTCATTCTAGAAAATGAGGAAATACAAAGAAAATTAAAATTATCCATAATGTCACCATCTACAAATAAGTTTACTTTCAGAGTTTTGCAGTTTATCACATTTTTGATGCACTGGGTGCCTGTTTTATGCTCACACACTTTTTTTTTCTTTTTTCTTTTGTTTTTTGAGTTGGAGTCTCACTCTGTTGCCCAGGCTGGAGTGCAGTGGCTCCTCCTGGCCACCGCAGCCTTGACCTGGGCTCCGGCGATCCTTCCGCCTCAGCCTTCCAAATAGCTGGAACTACAGGCGCGCATTACCATGCCCGGCTAATTTTTTTATTTATTGTAGAGATGAGGTCTTGCCAAGTTGCCCAAGGCGAGTCTCGAACCCGCAGGCTTGGGCAGTCCACCCACCTTGGCCTCCCAATGCGTGGTATTACAGGCTGAGCCACCGAGCCCGGCCTTTTCTTTTTTTTTAAGTTGAAGTCTCACTCTGTTGCCCAGGCTGGGTTCAAGGCAGTCCTTTTCCTTCAGTCTTCCAAGTAACTGGAATTGCGGGCATGTGCCACCATGCCTGGTTAAATTTTTTTTTTTATGATTTTTTTTTTTTTTTTGAGTTGGAGTCTCGCTCTGTCGCCCAGACTGGAGTGCAGTGGCACGCTCCCAGCCACCGTAGCCTCGACCTGCTGGGCTCCAGCGATCCTTCCATGTCAGCCTTCCAAGTAGCTGGAACTACAGGCGCGTGCTACCACGCCCGGCTAATTTTTTGATTTATTGTAGAGATGAGGTCTTGCCAAGTTCCCCAGGCGGGCCTTGAACCCACGGGCTCAGGCAATTCACTTACCTCAGCCTCCCAAAGGCGCGGGATTACAGACAGCCATCGAGCCCTGCTTTTTTTATGATTCATGTAGAAACAAGTTCTCATCATGTTGCCCAGGCTGGTATCAAACTCCTGGGCTCAGAAAATTCTCTCTCAGCCTTCTAAAATGCTGGGATTAAAGGCATGAGCCTCCACACCTGGCTTCCCATTTTTAATTGAGGTTTTGTGATACAAGCATTTTCATATTCTTCCCTTTTAATATTATTTTGTGAACTTTATCCCAGCACATGAAAACTACTTTGCGCTTTAAGATTCCATTGTACAGTTTCTTTTGTTCCAAGAGATGCCGCAGCTTTAAAAAGAGAATGAATGCTCTCTTTGAATATCTTTTTTGAGTCAGAGTCTTTCTGTTTCACCCAGGCTGGACTGCAGTGTCTTGATCACGGTTACTGCAACCTCGACCTGTCTCCATCCTTCCTCCTCAGCCTTGCAAGTAGCTAGAACTATAGGCGTACCACCACACCCAGCCAATCTTTTGATTTATTGTAGAGACAAGGTCTCACCAAGTTGCCCAGACTGGTCTTGAACCCCTAGGCTGTCTGGGCCCAGGCATTCCTCTCGCCTCAGCCTCCCAAAATGCTGGGATTACAGGCATGAGCCACCATTCCCAGCTTGAACATCATTCTAATGTTCTTACAAATTAACTTACAGTGCATCTAGTGTTTACCAAATTCTAAATGTAAAGGTAATTTGTGTCCTTGTGTGTACAACTCTGTTCCCATTTCAGACTCCAAGAAAGTTGTACCACTTCTCATACCCACTCCAGTGAATGGTCTTTGGAGTCCCAGTGAATGGTCTTTCCTAAGCTTTTTTGGGGTCGCTTGATCCTGCCTGAACAAAAAACAAATTCTAATGATAACCCTTGTTTTTTTTGTTTTTGTTTTGAGTTGGTGTCTCACTCTGTTGCCCAGGCTAGAGTGCAGTGGCACACACACGGCCACCCCAGCATTGACCTGCTGGGCTCCAGTGATCCTTCTGCCTCAGCCTTCTAGGTAGCTGGAACTACAGGTGCGCTCTACCACGCCCAGCCAATTTTTTATTTATTGTAGAGATAAAGTCTTGCCAGGTTGCCCAGACTGATCTTGAACCCAGGCTCAGGCATCCACTCACTTCGGCCTCCCACAGTGCTGGGATTATAGGCTGATTCACTCAGCCCAGCCTTTTTTTTTTTTAAAGCAATGGAGTTAGGTGCGGTGGCTTATGCCTGAAATCCTAGCACTTTGGGAAGCTGAGGCAAGAGGATTGCCTGAGCTCAGGGATTCGAGATCCACCTGGGCACCTTGGCGAGACCTCGTCTCTACAGTAAATTTAGAAATTAGCCAGACGTGGTAGTATGCACCTGTAGTTCCAGCTCCTTGGAAGGGTGAGGTGGAAGAATCTCCTGAACCCAGCAGGTTGAGGCTGCGGTGGCCATGAGTGCCACTGCACTCCTGACTGGTGATAGAGTGAGACTCCAACTCAAAATAATAATAATAATAATAGAGTAAGGGTAATAGGTAGATCAAGACTCCCAGGCATCCTGCAAAGTAGGTGGGTCACCTTAGGAGCAACCTTTACCCACTCAAAAATTTGTCTCACATTAGCCGTGATGATTTGGGCATCATCCCGAATTATTTTCCTTACTCATAAGTTTAAGGCATGAATTTTTTTTAATTTAAATTTTATTATTATTTTTACAGGTTGAATTGTTCTTTTGGATCTGGTTAGAGATGAATGGGGCTATTGTTTGTTTGTTTATTTATTTATTGAGTCAGAGTCTCACTCTGTCATCTAGGCTACAGTGCAGTGGCATGCTCCTGGCCACCACAGCCTCAACCTGCCGGACTCAGGTGTTCCTTCTGTCTCAGCCTTCCAAGTAGGTGGAACTACAGGCACATGCCACCACGCCTGGTTAACTTTTTTTTTTTTTTTTTGTAGAGAGAGGGTCTTGCCAAGTTATCCAGGCTGGTCTTGAACCCCTGGGCTTAGGCAGTCCTGTCACCTGTGCTTCCCAAAGTGTTGGGATTATAGGTGCATGCCACCACACCCAGTTATTTTTATTTATTTATTTTTAAGAGTCAGGGTCTGGTGTTGTCCATGCTAGAGTACAGTGGCATCATCATAGCTCATTGCAACCTGGAACTCCTGCGCTCAAGCCATTCTTCCACGTTAGCCTTCCAAGTAGCTGGGACTACAGGCATGCACCACCATGCCTAGCTAATTTTTAATTTTGTAGACATGGGGATCTTCTTACTGTGTTACTCTGGTTGATCATGAACTCCTGGCCTCAAGTGATCCTCCCACCTCAGGCCCCCAAAATGCTGAGATTCAAGGCATAAGCCACCATGCCCAACCGACAGCACTTGATTTAATGCTAACCCCATATCAGGCCCTGTGTTGAGAGTCTCTGTCAAGCCTCATTTCTTTGAATCTTGACAGTAGTACTGTAAGGTAGATGCTTTCATTTTCCAGAGGCAGTCATAAGGTTCAGAGTCACCCTTGCTGTCACCAACAAGCCAAGATAGTACCACTACACCATGCTGTAACACCCCTCCCTCATCTCATTCTTGTAGATTCTGATGATGGTGGGCCTGCCTGCTGCCGGCAAGACCACGTGGGCTATTAAACATGCAGCCTCCAACCCTTCCAAAAAGTACAACATCCTTGGTACCAATGCCATCATGGATAAGATGCGGGTAAGGACAACCCCTGGACTCACCTTACCCATTTCTCATCTGCTGAGTGCTGCCCTACAACTAGGACCACTCACCCCTCACCGCCTCCTGCCTGCAGGTGATGGGCCTACGCCGGCAGCGGAACTATGCTGGCCGTTGGGACGTCCTGATCCAGCAGGCCACCCAGTGCCTCAACCGGCTCATCCAGATTGCTGCCCGCAAGAAACGCAATTATATCCTCGATCAGGTACTTACCGATGACCATCATGTCCTCGAGAAAGGGGAGGGGCCTATTGGGTGCCTGCGAATTCCTGTCTGATTCTTTTCTTTTTTTCCATAATGCCCTTCAACTGCAGTGCTAGGCGGGGTCAGCCAAGCGTGATGGCACAGTCCTAGAATCTTACTTTTAGCAAAGCTTCCTAAGCCCAGTCCATGGGTCATCTCTGGGACTGTGAGCCAGGCCTACTTGCGTAGGTTCATCAGCAGCCCCAAAGAACATTCTCAGATGAGACCCATTTTGCAAAATGGAAGAGGCATGGAGTTCTGAACCTGACATGGTGCTGCAGTCCCAGCTCTGCCACTTCCTGTGTACTCGTGGACAGCTGACTTTATCCTTTGAATCTCTGTCTCATGGTCTGTAAAATGGTGGTTATAATAGCATTCACACAACTAACACAGGAACTAGCACTTTAGCAGTTGGTGATTGTTGTTAATTACTCTGCAGAATATGTATATGCCAGCTTCTCTTAGCAAGTTTTTATGACTGGCAGGTACATATCTATCTCTACGTATATTTCACTTAAGGGTGGAGTTTTTAACATCAGTGGATTTAGGAACCTTTGAAATTAAACATAAATATTGAATGCAGGTGACAAAGCATAGTGAGACACCATCTCTACAAAAAATAAAAAATGTATCCAGACATGGTGGCATGCACCTATAGTCCCAGCTACTCAGAAGGCTGAGTGGGAGGATTGCTTGAGCCCAGGAGTTTTAGGCTGCAAAAAACTATGACCATGCCAATGCACTCCAGCCTGGGTAACAAAACGAGACCCAAAACAAGCCAAATAGACAGTTTTTAATTAGAATAGAAAGATTGTTTGTGACTTTTAGCATCCTCAAAAGGATGAGTGACCCAAAAATGGTTAAGGGTCCCTGTCTTACAGTAGTGAGTTCCACATGGTTATTGCCTATGCAGTGTTATACTTGACATTTGCCCTGAAGGCTTTCTCACGTAGCAAAGGGTGTTTCCTTATTTTCTGTATTTGGGGATCTGTGAATAAGCCTCTGTTCCCCTCAGCCTCTCATTTGTGCTTTCTTAAGAATCTGTGAGTGAGCAAATATGTAAACTGGGTAACACCATGCCCTTGTAGCCATGCTGAAGTCCCTTCCATACATGTAGCCTGAGGTATGTGGTTACCATGAGTTCACAGGGGTCCTTATGAGAGCAGAGCTTTTGACAGTGGTTGCCTTCTTATTTCTTTTTGTTGTTGTTGTTACTTAGTTATTTCTCTGCAATCTAACTATATGTGGAAGGGAATAAGGAAAATATGGAACCCAGAGAATTAGAGCAAGAGCACAAAGATTATAGGGATATTTTGCCCAAATGGGATGGAGGGGGTGCTCTCCAGACCTACAGAATGAATAGTCTGGTAGTTTAAGATAAAACAAGTCAAATTTATTAGAGTAGTCCACAGTCAGCAGTGGTGATCTTCTTATTGATCTTGCCATTCTTGGACCCAAACCCTTCTATGGCTTGCACAACACTCTTACTCTCTTTCACCTTTTCAAAAACCACATGCTTACCATCCAACCATTCAGTCTTAGTAGTGCAGATGAAACACTGGAAACCATTTGTATTGGGTCCAGCATTTGCCATGGACAAGATGCTGAGACCTGTGTGCTTCAAGATGAAGGTCTCGCCATCAAATCTCTCCCCATAGATGGACTTGCTGCCAGTACCATTATGGTGTGTAAATCACCACCCTGGCACATAAACCCTGGAATAATTCTGTGAAAGCAAGAACCTTTATAACCGAATCCTTTCCAGTGCTCCGAGCACAAATGTTTTCTGCTATCTCTGGAACTTTTGTCTGCAAACAGCTCAATGGAGACGTGGCCCTAGGGCTCGCTGGCGATGTTGAAGACCACAGTGGGTTTGATCATGACTGATGGGAAAAGGCTCCATGCAGCGGTGTCTGCAAAACTGCCTTTTTGTTTGTTTGTTTGTTTTTTATTCTAACCACTAGACTAGGGAGATAATGATTGGCTTTGTCATAAGGATGGTTGGCTTGTTAGAAAGGAATCCCAGGGACTAACTTGCCTTCACATGGGTGAAGATCCTACACAAAACAATTGAGCACAGGATAGTCTGAAAGCAATCCATGGCTATTTCCTCAGCTTGGCCCTATCAATCATGTGTGCAACCAACCTTCTTCCCCCTTTGAAGATTTGTTTTACTTGGTTTTTAGACCCTTAGTCTCACTTTGTCTCATTATCCTTGTCTGGGCATTTTGGAATTTTAGTCTGACTTGGCCCCAGTTGAACTCATTGTTCTGAAAGGCAGAGCAGTGATACTGTCTTAACACCCAGAGGATTCCTCTTGGATACCTCAGCAAGTATTCTCTGCCTGTCTTTTTCTTGGTTTGCTGGTTAAATAAGCTATTAAACCCATTTCAAATATGTGGCCCAGTGGAGAATGATTGTAGTCAGGGGTGGATCATTTAATATCTCTGTTCAGGAGGTCTGAGTGGGTTTTCTCTGGAGGTCATGCCCCTAGCAGCTTAACCAGGCACATAACAGCTGAGCACTGTAAAGGCTTACTGTCAGATTCTTAGCTGGTGCTGGCTTGTTCAGGGACAGCCCAGGCCTGCCACAGGTGTACCTGTGGTCTTCAGGGCTTCTGGCCCTCTGGTGGTGGAGGGGTGTGCAGGTTGAGTCAGGTGATCTAGGCCAGCAGCAACCCAAACTCTGAAGATTGGGGAAGAGGGTTCTCTGGTTAACCACAGCTTGGAGGACGGACTCAGGGCCTGAACCTGTAGTTACTCAGGCCTGGGAAGGGAGTCCAATGCTGGTGGTTTGACCTTTTTTGGCCTAAACCTCAAAAGTAGGTTCCATACTCTGGGTATGAGAGGGATGGGCAAATTGTATGTTTGTATAGAGAAGGTTCAGAGCAGGCCCCTGGCATATCCTGGCACTTCCCACCCCACCAACTTTGACAGTGACAGATATGCTGATGATCCATAGCTGTCACCTGGGTGAGATGGAACTTTCTGAGGGGAGGCCAGTACTATAGCAGAGTCCCTGCCATTCTTGGATCTCAGCCCAGGACCATCTATTGCCTTCTCTGTTTTTTTCCTGAGTGGTCAGACCTCCCTGCATTTGGCTCTGCTAGGCTTCCTGTGTTATGTAGGTTGACCTCAGAAATGCTCATCTTTCCCTCAAAGATGTCCACATGAAGCCACGTGGGCCCGTGTAAGCCAAAATTCTGCCTTTAACTGGCCAGTACCCCAGCCTCTACTCTGGGATCTATCTTATTGGGCAAAAGCTATCAAATTTATTATAGCTCGGACCTACATTCCAAGATAACCTGAGCAGCTTCTTCAGATCATGTGGGCATTATAGCTGTGGAACATCAGAGGGGAAAAAAGGAGGTGCAACAGAGGGGAACTGAGTCCTCATAAAGAGAAGAACTGCAGGACTACAAAGTCATGCAGTCAATATACTGGTAGAGCACAGCTCTGCTAACTTCTCAGATAGCTACAGACTAGAATGGATAGGGCCGTGGTGGGAATTTAGGAAAGCTTTTAGGAGGTGAGATATCTGGGTAAGGGCATAGAGGATGATAAAAAGAGTTGAGATTTTGTCCTAAGGGCAATGAAGAACCTGGTCATGTTTCATTAGGAAGGAATATGGTTAAATTTGGTCCACTAGCAAAAAGCTGCAGAGAAGGAGAATAGAAGTCCACATTGCCTTAGGTGGCTCTTTGAGGCCCTCTGATGGAGGTAGGAAGCTTCTGAAATGAGATGCTTTCTGTACTGGTCCCAGAGGACCTTGAGATGGGGTCCAGAGCAGGAACTGACTGGCTTTCTGTGAAGCAACAAAGTTGCCCTTCTGGAGGGCCCCTGCAGGGCCATGTTCCCAAACCACCCTCAGAGTTTGGCACTGCAGGCTAGGAATTCCCTCAAGGGTTTTTTTTTTTTTTTTTTTTTTTGTGTGTGTGTGTGTGTGTGTGTGTGTGAGAG